CGTTCATACATGATGCAGAAATGCCGAACCACGGAATGTGCAGAACTGCGGAATTTGCAGACCTGCGGAATTGGGAGAACCGCGGAACTTGCAGAAAAAGAAAATATGTCGATTTCAAAAACCGTGGAATATGCAGAAGTGCGGAATTTGCAGAAATGCCGATGGACCGATCGATCCCTATCGCTTCTTTGTCCGTAATTTCTGCATGTCTGCAAATTCCGCGGAATTTGCCGTCGTGCGGAATCTGCAGAATCTGCAGATTCTGCATTTCTCCCAATTCCGCACGACGGCAGGGAAGAACCAATCGATCCCTATCAATTCTTTGTCCGTCATTTCTGCATGTCGGCAAATTCCGCGGAATTTGAAGAAATGCAGTTTTCAGATCGATACGTATATATTTCCTTTCTGCAAATTCCGCAGTTCTGCATATTCCGCATTTCTGCATCATGTATGAACGCGGCCTAATAAGGTATTTATAAAGAAGATCTTCGCCTTCAGCAACTCATTTCGAATGTGGTGCAACAACGAGTGGTCCCGCACAGATTGGCCGCCATTGGCTGAGTATTCGATTTCTGCCGGTTGTTCGACTTTGATTTTGAGAATTCTCATATTTTTCAGTAATTTAATTGTTTTGCTAGGTTCTGTTGTCTCTTTGTCCAATATCTCTGTCTCAAGGCATACACTACGTGTCTTACAAATTGTTTTGTAGGTAGTAAAAGTGTTGTTTCTAGAGCAAACGTCGAAAAATCAGGTTTTTCGTAATTAGTTCGAGAAGAAACCATTGATGTGTTATCGTGGTTCTCCTTTAATTCCGTTGTCCTTTGAGTGTTATTGGTCTATGGATTCTGTTTCCTGACTCCATCTTCGCTACAGTGGTCTTTGCCTATCTTTCGTAGTCGTCTTTCTCGCGATATCGGGGTGTTTTACCTATCTTTGCTAACTTACAGTGATTCATCTGCAGGTAAGATGTCCAAGAGAGGACGTGGAGGAGCATCTGGCGCTAAATTCCGCATTTCCCTTGGTCTCCCTGTCGGAGCCGTGATCAATTGTGCTGACAACACTGGCGCTAAGAACCTTTTTGTTATCGCAGTATATGGAATTCGTGGAAGGTTGAACAGGCTTCCCAGTGCAGGAGTTGGTGATATGTTCGTCGCCTCAGTGAAGAAGGGAAAGCCAGAACTCCGAAAGAAGGGTGAGCCTTTTGATTTAACTGTTGTTTGTTTTTTTTCCTCTTTTCCTTTTAATTTTATCTTCGCTATTATTCACGACCGTCATACTAATCTCAAATATTTTTAAAATCCTCCCTGAGAATTTGCGCTACCTCAATATGAGTAGGCTTTGTAGTTTAGAACAAAAAGGAACTTGGAGTCTTTGCAATCATTTCTCTTTTGTCATGGGAAATAAAGGGGAGCTTTTTCTAAATCTTGAGAAGGACCTTCACCTACCGCGGAACTTCTAATCACTCGAATCATCATACTATTTTCGCGCTCTCCAGTACTGAATCGTGAGAAAATCGTAGAAAGGAAATAAACGCAAAACGTTTCACAGCGTTTCACATCGAATTTGCGTCTACCGCTTCAACTAGACTGGCTTTTCCTTTAGTAAAAAACTATTAATCAACAGAAAAATCACCGTTAGTAATAGGAGGACCTAACTTCTGGGCCGCTTCTCGTTTCCATTCTTTTAGAACTAGTGCGGCTGCGATGAAAAGTACAGGAGAACCTCATTTTCGAGTAGACGTTGATTATTGAAATTCTTGCTTCCTAAATGAAGCAATGATGACCTAAGTAGACGGTGACTAGAGGCTGCGAACTCTGGTGAATAGGCTGGGCAGGGTCGTATTCCCTGGTCGGAATTCAAATATTTTGACGTAGCATCATCGCCGCAGGCTTGCAGGTTGTCGCGGTTTATGAAGACTTGGGTTGTTGTGACGCGATGTGATCTCTTGGAGTTTATTGGACCACATGTTCTCTGTCTTTTTGGTCTGCTATGAAGTATACAGCAGTTTTCTTTTGCAGTGCCCACAACAGAGCGAAACCATTTTCCATATGCATCCGTTTTTGCACTCTGTTGGCGGTTTCCTTGGAACCCTATGGAGGTTATGCGCACGAATTACTTTGTGAGCCTATTACATACCAAGCACAGGTATTAGCCAAAAAGTCAATGTTTACCAATAGCAAGAAACTCACCCACGACCACTCGGTTCATCTTGTCAGGGTCATCTTGACGCATTTCGTATAGTGCCCATCATGAGAATGTTTACCGATAACCGAACTGTGGGAAAGATTTATAGTGTCGTGTGAGTGCATAGTAGAGATATTGCCAACTTGCGCCGCATTCACGAGTTGACTTTGACAGGTGACGAAACTGCGGACAAAAGGAAGTATACCGCTCGATCTGAAGAACCGCAGATTCGGAAGAAATTCATAACCTGCAGAAAAAAAAGAAAGTACAGGCATCGATCTGAACAATTGCCGATTATAAGAAAATCCAGAAATACCACAGAACTGGCATATGCCCACTTGGCCAATTTAGCTGAGCTAAACGATCACTTCTATCAAAACTTTTCCTTCTCTTCAACATTTCTGCAGACTCTGCATTGCTTCAAATTCCGCGGTTCTTCAAATCGATATGTATACTTTCGTCTTACCCACTGTTTCGCCATTTCTTTAAATTCTATTATTGCGGCCTAACTGGTGATGCTCGCCTCTAGGTTGGTGATCAAACGCTCATCATTCCTTTTCCGGTGGGCGGTCAGGACGCAGCCTTTCGAATGGAATATTTCAACTTCTTGTCGCTGAAACCAGCGAGACACTGTGGGGTATCGCAAGCGACATCCAGGAACAGCGCATTCTTACTTCCTCAACCAAGTAGAGGTCCCCAAACGATCATATAGTGTTAGAATAGGAGGAATAAGAGACACCATAAAAGATCTTCAAAACTAGTTTTACTATTGCTCTTGAGAACCGCGACGTTTGAAGGTGGTCGACAGTGATTTCATGGTTTAATATTTTGCGAGATATGTGGGTATTTTATAGTACGGCGGAGAAAAAGCATTGCGTAGATCCGCACTGCTGCACTGCTAGCAACTTTATCGACTTGAATGACTCGAAAGTGACGGGCTTCGCTGGAGAAGGATATCGACGAAAGGTTCTTCGATGAGCGTTGACAGCTTGGACTCCTCGAAATGCTAGGGCTCAGTGAAGTTGGTGAGCGAAGTGGAGATCGCTGTAATTGCTAGAGTATCACAGATTTTGCACGGATGTTTGTCCTTCCTTATCGCCACAAGTTTGGCATGCATCACCATGTTTCATCATTCAACTGCGAAAACGAACCATTTTGAGATCATCGCATTCTGTTGTAACGATTGATGAAAGTGTTCTCTTTAACACTAGTAAGGAGAACGTTTGTGTCCTACATCATGAAGCCTGTTGCGTCCCCTTCCTCTTCAAGGTAATCTATGCAGCATTATCTGAGGTAAAGCGCACGGAATTTTGATCTCATGAGTGATCGTGGAAATGTATTTGGGGCCATTTACGGGGTGTGAACGTAAACTTGCAGTGAAATGTGTTCTAAGAGCTTCATGACTTCATAAGGGGTCATTCATACATTAGTACGTCCCTACAGCTCTTCTCTCGATAACGCTAAAGAATTCAGCGGAATCTAGGGTGAATGTATGAAGCTTTTCAATAAAACATTGTTAGTCAATGTTTTAACCTCGTTGTTATACGATGAATATTAAACGTTTTCGATCCCACTGCGTCACAGCGCTAGTAGAGTTACTGTGCTACTTCAGCACTATGAGTTAGGTTGCAACAAGGCGAATCAAGCCTTTTGCACTCTCAAAGATGTGTTTGTTCCTACACATTCGCATTGGTGATAGTCATCTCTGTAGGCCTGTTTTACATTGACCTTACGCTCATGCTTGAAGAGCTAGTTATGAGCTGGTGAGAACCTGGGTAACTGCGTTGGGGATGAATGGGTAAATTGCCGTTGATCAACTTCTTTTCGGAAAGCGGCGCGCATACTGTTTTTATTCGGAATCGTAGCGGGTTAGGATGCGATAAGGTCTATACATTGAGCTGCAGGGGCAGGCGATGTTTATGTCAGGGTTTTCATGGTCTCGAACAAACATTACAAATTTGGTAGCTCCACAGGATAGATGACTTGGTTGTCATGGGCGAGAGTTGGCCTGAAATTTTATTCCCTGACTGTGCGCGTGGTTCTTAGCGCCACTCACTGCAGCACCTCGGCCCCGAAACAGTACATATATTCAGTTCCGATTACGATTAATTTCCTATCGTATCTCCAATATGTTCGGCCTCTTCCTTCCTATTGTATTCTCTAGAATCTCACCTTTTTGCTGGTTTTTCCTCAGTTTATCCTGTCGGAATATCCTCTGTAACTCGCGCAAATCCTCGAGTAAATTCTTCAGATAGGCAGGAAAGTGTTCTGCTTCGCGAGTCGCAGCCGCTGAGCCGTCGCACTACTTCTACTGCCCTTGTCTGTCTTGATCTGGAAGAATTTGGAACTCCACTCAGTTGAGAGGTCACTACTGATAAGGGAATAAGTATGCTTTGGGCTTCATTATGTGATTATGTGAAACCTCGATTTCTTGAGTTTTGTCGGACATGTTGTTTTCGTAGGTGGAGTTGCAGACTGGTATGTCGCTTTCAGTTTCTCAGTTGCTATCACTCCCTATAACTACTATTAATCTCCCCATCCCACATCCTCTGCCATTGTCGAATCAATGGTGCTATGGTTTTTCGTTACAAGGCGAATGTTACTTTGTGGAAGCCATATGTCACTGTTCCTCGCTCGCTATGAATTTCGCTACGAACAAGCAAACAGACAAACCCACATGAGCGAATTATACATAGTGATATAGTAATCCTTATTATATTTGAAAACACTCGCATTTTTACTGTGTCCCTTGGAATTCATTGACTAACCGGGTTGCACATCTGTCGTAAGATTCACACGGTGAATCTGAGTCGGGAAGATGCACAGTAAGAGAAAGCAGGGTGGAGTACCGCTCTTGTTTATCATATAATTAGGTCAGTTACACTCATTAGGTGGATGAGATCCTG